GTACTCTCCCGTAAACCAGTGGCTCAGTGGTTGAGTGTCGACCTATGAACCAGAAGGTCATGGTTTGATTTCAAGTCAGGGCACATGTCCAGGTTGCAGACTCGATTCTTAGTAGAGAGCGTGCAGGAGGCAGCCAATCAATTATTCTCTCTTATTATTGATGTTTCTCTCTCTCTCCCTCTATCCCTTTCTCTCTAAAATCAATAAAAGTATATTTAAAAAACAAACAAAATAAAAACATTTATATAAAAAATATTGCTGCCTTGGTTTCATCTCAGAGAATCTAATATTATTGGTCTGGGGTGCGGCCCCAGGCATCATGGTATTTAAAAACCTCCCCAAATATTTTAATTTCCAGTGAGAGTTGAGAGAACTGCTCTCTATGACAGCTTTACTGTAGAGACAACAAAAGAGGAGAAACACAGTTAAATCCTACCCAAAATGAACGAGAATCATTTAACCACAAAGGTTTTTAAAACATGCCACACCTGACAACTTAGGACACTGACCTTTTCCCCCTTAGTCTGTCAAATTAAAAAATGACAACAACCAACACAACAATAGCCGTTTGGTGTGAACGAATCAAAATTATACCTATTCTTTTCAGTCAGATCGGCAAAAGAAATAACATATTTTCTGGCAGGCTGCAGAATGTTAGTAATTAGCTTATGGGTGCCGTGAGATGGAAAACGTTGAATATCGCTGGCAGAGAGATATAAAAGGAAGCCATCGAGGTAGGTGAGGTGGTGAGAAGCATATGGTGAGGAGTCAGGGCTGAGAACAGAGCTCTGGGAGAGAAGGTGGGAGAGACGGGCAGGAGGAAGAGCAGCAGAGCTATAGCAACGGCTTTCCCCAGGATCTTAAAATCCCAAGTGCTGCCCAGAGGCCAGAAGGAGGAAGTCTGAAAAAGCGACCATTGGATTCCGCAGTCAGTCCTTCACTGGGACCCTCACAGGAGACCGTGGTGGAGCGGTGCTGCCTGGGTAACCCAGATTTCAGTGACTGAAGAAGAGGCTACAATCCATATGGACCTTTTCATACATATTTGGTGTGCCGTTAGAATCTATTAATAGTAAAGTCTCCCTCAGCATCTGCAGGGTATCAGGTCCACGCCCCTGCGGACACCCACATCCGAGGATGTTCAAGTCCCTTGTATAAAGTGGCATAGCATCAGCATATAACCTACGTATACCCTCGCTTGTTATATACATTTCGGCTTTAAAAACGTATTCATGTCTTTTCAGCTGTAAGCATGAGAATACCCAATAAGGGTGACTTACACAACAGAGACCCTCCCATTCAAAGTGTGAGTACACGAACACACACACACACACACACACACACACACACACACACATACGATATATAATAAGCAGCCCAGATGTGGGTGGCTCACAGGCTTAGACTCTCGTTGGCTTCTCTGGGGAAGCTTTTGGCTGCTCTTCGTGGTCAGAAGATGATAAAGCCTCTCCAAATACCCTGGCAGCCTCCAGAGCAGGTGTCTTCAAACTACGGCCGGCAGGCCACATGCGGCCTGCAGAGGAGTCTGATCCGGCCCGCCAGGTTTTTTGGGCAGTGAGCGCAGCCGAGGTGTTACAGTAGGAATTAGTAGTTCATATAGTCCGGCCCTCCAGCTCTCTGAGGGACCGTGATCTGGCCCCCACTTTAAAAAGTTTGAGGACGCCTGCTCCAGAGGGATAGAGCTCCTCAGTGCCTCTCTTCCTGTCATCGGGAAGCAAACCTTCCTGAAAGCTCCCAACAGGGATGCCCTAGTGACTCCCCGGCTGTAAAACTCACACTCCACCCTCAGCTGCCAGGAAGTTTCAGCCAGTGAACATCTGGAATTTCCCCTCCTTCATACTGGGAGGTAGATTCTGCTTTCAAGGAAGCAGGGGAAGAGAAAGATGGCTATACAGACCACCAAGGGAGTATGGAGAAAGCTTTTAACTTAAACAAACAAACAAACAAACAACACCACAGTTGAAACTGAGCATGCTTAAATGCTTTTTGTAGGAAAATATATAATCATAATAGTGTGACCCCTGAAATTGGGGGTTGCAATGGGGTGTGAAACATGAGAGATGGACAGGCATCTCTCCCATTCTAATTGTAGGGAGGGAGGAATGAATGAGGGTGGAAGGAGGTGAATGTGTAGGTTTGTTGGGAGGTGAGGGAATTCCCATTCGAAGGCTTCCCTTTCTTCCCCGTGAAGTCGGTGACTGAGTCACCTGAGGAGGGGAAGGGAGTGTTGCCCAAGCAACAGGATTTCCAGCTGGTTTTAAAGCACGGCTGAGGGTGGCTGCCCTGAATTTAAAATTAATCAGGCCCTGAATTTAAAATTAATCAGGAGTGTGAATGATTTTTCCCCTCCAGCTGCGCTAGATACCTTGTCACAAGTGTTGAGAAGGCAGATAGATTAATATCTCAGGGGACTTTCTTCACAAGTGTGATAGAATAAATGAACAAGGGAAGAGAATATTATAAAAAAAAAAGCACTTGCAGTGCTAGAACACAGAATCTAAGTTGGGAGAAGGTGAAAACAAGGGAGTAGATTCACAGTGAGCAAGTCAAGACAACAAAGGATCAGAGACCATGAAGTTGCTGAAGGACCCATGAGGGTGGGAGGAAGGACTGGAGGACAAGGCATACCGAATGGTCTCTCTGGACATATTTCCAACACGGTGCAGTTCTGAATCATGACCAAGGTCAGAATGTTGCATTGAAATGAGTGGCGGAAGCACAATTAAAAATAAAAAAAATACGAGGAGCTATGGTATTTGGGAGGGTCATCTATATGGCCTGTGGCCCAATTTACAAAAATAGAGATGTACAAAAGAAGTGCATACAAGTCCTCTGGAAGTTATATTAAAATACAGATCCTGATTCAGTAGATCTGGGGTAGGACTAAAGCTCTGCATTTCTAACAAGTTACCAGGCGATTCAATTTGGTCTTTTGGGAACCACACTTCCAGTGGCAAGACACTGGATAACCTGTCGCTGACTATCTCACATACTATGTGTTTTACTTAAATGTCCTCTATCCTGCTCTGCTGAAACGTGTGGGCCTTAGAATAGATATGTCCTGTTTGTCCCAGCTTTAGCTGGTTGGGTGTGGAGAACCTGATACCAGTAGAAACCAACCCATAATCTGGATTCATCGGACCAACGTTTCTCATGTGAACCTGAACTGAAAAAATAGAGATGGGAACACTAAAGCAGTGGTGGGCAGTGGAATTTCAAGATCCATTTTCCCCATTTGTTCCCCCAAATCAAACTAAAGTCTTATTTGAGTTAAAGTTTTGGTGAGCAGTCATCATGATGAAATCGGTGCTTGTGGGGGGAGGGGCGGGAGGAAGAGGGAATGGAGCAGAGGCACAAAATTGACATGAGACAAGAGACCAAGCAGCTCTAGGAAGAGAGGGTGGTTATCCCTGACACCACCTCTCCTCAAGTGTACCCTCCACTGGCATCTGGTCTCTCTGGCCAGCCTTCTTGACTCTCTTTACCATGGATAAATCACACTCTTTTTCTTGGGGGGTGTCTTGATTTAGAAGGCTCCTCCAGGAAGCTTCTCCTGTCACCTGAGACTGTGGTGCCCTACATACACCTATAGCATCTCATAGTGTCCAGATCATAGCATTCATCAATCACTATTTATGACAACCCTTTGGATACTTATGTGCCATGTATTTTATATATATATATATATATATATATATATATATATATATATGAAGTTAGATATTCTAGTTTCATTTATTGTTTTCAGTCTTCATTTTTTACTTAAAAAGGAGCTCAAAAGAAGCTAGATAACTTGCCCAAGACCACACATAGCCTGTGGAATTGAAGTTCTATGGTTGCCTATCTTCAAAGTGTTTGTCCTCTTAAGTATTTGTGAATGAATGTTGCTGAATCTGAGTAAAAGGAAGTTATCTGTTGGGCCAATTAACTTTCTAACAGAACTGGGTAAATAATTCTGGGTAAAAAGTCCTGTTATAACCAAAGTGTCCTGAACAAAGAGGCCATTTACATAACTGGTAGATGAGATGTGCACAATACCTGATTCTAGTCAGTATAGTGACTTCCAAACCTACGGCTAGGGGTCCATCTTGTCCTTATCCCTTGTTCTAAATGGTGAAGGGACCACCTGGACTCTTTTCTTGGACTCTCGATGCCAACATGGGCCCTCTGTGCACACATATATCCATAGAGCTTTCTTCAGTCTGGGAGTTGGTGTGTCCAGGGACAGGAGCCTGCCTGTGTTGGTGTCCTATTCTTATAAACGACCCACGTTGCACAGCGATGCTACGTTGCTTGCCTAGAAGTGTATGCACCTCCGGTTCTTTGTTTTCTGTGAAGTGAAGAGGTTGACAGGCACACGTTCCCTGAGGCTGCAAACACACTTAGTCAGCACCTGCTCTGGCTGGATGAGTAGACCAAGTACCCCGCACTCATCACTTCCCGACTGTTTCTATGAGCCGCACAGGACCCCTGTCACAGGCCAAACCAGACATCCAAACCCTCAACCACACGTATCTAGGACCCCACTCCGTCCCATTGTGCAAACACGGGGGTGGCTGTGTGCTTCAGATGCTTCTGGCCAAATGCACAGCCAGCTTCAGGGCCTTTCTGTGCTCCGGCGGCGGCTCGCGCAGACGCCGAGGACCTGGAGGCTCAGAACCGTCCCGCGGGCTCCACCGGCCGCTCCGAACTAACGCTCCGCCGGCGGCGCCCGGCGCGCGGATTGGCTGCCGCGGCCGTGACGTGAGCGGGGCGGGGCGGGACGGTTTGCGACAGCGGCGCGGGGTCCCGGCCCGAGGCTCCGAGCGAACCGCAGCGCGGCTCCCGGACCCGACCGGACCGCACCGGCCCGAGCGCTCTCTCGGCGGCTCCGCGCCGCAGCCTCGGCCCCAGCCCGCGCGGTGTGGACGCGGGACCCGCGGCCCCGGCGCGGCCGGCACTCTCCGGCGGGCGGGCGGGCGGGCGGCCCAGAGCCCAGAGCTCCGCGGAGCCTCCCGCCGGGCGGCCGCGGGTTCCCGGAAAGGGCGGCCGGTCGGCCGGTCGGCGCGGGGCCGCGGCGGGACTCCCCGCCCGGAGCGCGAGGAGAGCGGCGGCAGGTAACGCAGCCGCCGCGGGGTCCGAGGGCCCGGCCTGCGCCCGCCGCGCTGCGGGCGGCTCCGCGGAGCTCCCGGCTCTGATCGCCCCCAACTTCCCTTGTCCCGCCGCCGGGAGCGGGGGCGGCGCGGGAGGGGTGCGGGGAGGAGGGCGCCGGGCTCCTAACGAATTCTCCCCGGAAAACTTTGCCCCGCGCCGGGAGGTGTGCGCGCCCGCGGGGAGGGGGCGGGGAGCGGAGCCCGGCGCCGAGATTTGGGGAAGTGGCGCCCCGCGGGGGGAAGGGGGCGGGGGGCCCCCGCGGGGAGGCGCCCCAAGGTGTCCCTCTCGCTTCCCCCGGCAGCTGCGGACGATGCGGCGGCGAGCGGGGCTGCGGCGCAGCCGCCCGGCCCCCCGCGCCTGAGCGCCCGCCGCCGGGACCCCGGGCGCCCGGCCGGGCGATGCGCGGCCCCCGCTGAGCCGGCGGCGCGGGAGCCCGGAGCGCAGCCTTCGCGGCGGGCATGCCGGATCGGCGCCGAGTGTGACTCTGGGGGACAGTGAAGGAGCCCCAACATGGAGGACTTTTCTACCAGGACCTACGGCACCAGCGGGCTGGACAACCGGCCGCTGTTCGGAGAAACGTCGGCCAGGGTGAGCGCGGGCGGGGCTCCGGCCCGGGGCTGGGGGTCTGTCTGTCTGTCGGTCTGTCTGTGTGTCTGTGTCTGTCTAGGCAGGGTCCCGGCGCGGCCCCCGAGGGCGCTGAGAGGCAGAAGGCTGGCTCCCCCACCCGCTCCCCTCCCGGGGTGTTGGCCCCGCCGCTCGGCTCCCTCTCGGGGGCGGGGGTGGCCCGGCGCCCTGGCGGCGGGAAAGTTGGCCAAGTCCTGGGCTACTGGGGCCCTGGAGTGGCGGGCGGGGGCGGGAGGTGTTTGCACACCCGCCGGGGAGCTGGCCTTGGAGAGGCTTCCGTACCGGGGCCCCCACCTCTCCCTCCCCGGAGGCGCTTCTCTGATTGCTGTGCTTCCAGGGCCATTAACGGTTCGCCGCCGCCGCCTCCAGAAGTGAGAGTTTCTTGTTGGCTTTTCCTCGCAGGAAGCGGTCAAGGGTCTCCGGACCCACCCAGGCCCCGTGGTTATACGTTATTTCAGGCTTTCCCCGAGTCTGTTTTTCTCACCAGCCTCATCCTGGGCTGTCCTGGGCCGGGCCAGGGAGAGAGCGCCCTGCCCCGGCCTCGGCGTTCTTGTTCGGAGCGCTTTGGGCCAGAGGAGCTTGTTTTTGTGTTGGTGGTGGTGGTGGTGGTGGTGGTGTTGGTTTCACCTGGAAAGTGGCACGGGCGGCCTTGGATCCCTGATTGCTCTCAGGCTCTCAAAAAGTCGTGTGCATGGGAACCCACGTCCTCTTGGGTTTCTCAGCCTGGGCAGGGACAGGATAGGGACCTGTACACCCCAAAGTCTGGGACGGGGCCCCGAATCTGGAAGCTGCCAGCCTGCTACAAGACTACCACTTTATTTATTTACTTATTTAGTTAGTTTTTAAGTTGATAATCTTTTCATTTTATTTTTTAATTACTTTATTGATTAAGGTATCACATATTTGTCATCATCCCCCCATTCCCATCCCATAGCCTCCCCATGCATGCCCCCACCCCCCTGTTGTCGGTGACCACTGGTTAGGCTCATATGCATGCACACAAGTCCTTTGGTTGATCTCTCTCCCTTATTCCCATTCTCCCTTACCTTCCCTCTGAGGTCTGACAGTCTGATCGATGACGACCACTTGATTTAAAAAAAAACACACACACACAACTCCATGTGGATTTTGTTTTCTCTTAAAGTGTCTTAAGGAAAAAGTGTTTTAAGCCTGAAGTCGAGGAGGATGCTCCTTGTCTGTCTTGTGGCTTTGCATGATCGCAGGCACCTGGCTTGAGAAGTATGGCTCCAGTCCAGTAGAAGTTTCTCTGCTCACATTATTGAGATTGTGTGACAGGCCCCAGGGTCCAAGGAACCCAGCGAGGCGGAGGAGACGTGAACAGTGTGATACCGTTAGGTGTGCGCTATGGATGGGGCATAGAGGGCTCAGAGGAGAAGCTGGTCACTTTTATTTGGGAAGCTTGGGGGAGACCCTAGGATAGCTTCTCCAGTCAGTGTCTGCTAGTCATGAGCTTTAGTCGTGCGCTATGGATGGGGCATAGAGGGCTCAGAGGAGAAGCTGGTCACTTTTATTTGGGAAGCTTGGGGGAGACCCTAGGATAGCTTCTCCAGTCAGTGTCTGGTAGTCATGAGCTTTAGATATGAATGCCTCTAAACTGGAGTTTGAAGAGGATTTGGAGCCTGGAGAATGGAGGCAGCTTGTTGCTTGAAGGGATCAGACAAAAAGCATCTGGCTGCCCAGCAGTTTCGACAGCTGAGAGGTTCACCGTTTCTCCCATGGGCCTGGGCACACCGATTGGGGTTCTGAGGAATGCAGGTTCTGACCTCACTTAGCCCCATAGCCCTGGGCACTGAGGTAGGTGACTTGGTTGGTAATTGACTTGTTGATTATTTATCCTCATCCGAGGATATTTTTTTCCCATTGATTTTTTAGGGAGAGTGGAAGATAGGGAAAGACAGAGAGAAATATCAGTGCGAGAGAAACGCATCGATTGATTGCCTCCTGCATGAGCCTGGACCAGGGCCCTGACCCGGGAGGAGCCTGCAACCGAGGTGCTTCACAGTGACACTTAATATTCTGAACTACTTTTGATGAGAAAAATCTAGAAAGGGGAAATCCCACTTCTTATAGTGTGACAGATCTTCTGACTTCTTATATCTACCTTATAACAACTGACCAGACATACAGCCTCTCAATTCTATTATTTTAAAATTTATTTTTTAATTAGTTTACATATGATGCTGTTCTGTATTAGTTTCAGATGTACAGCAAAGTGGTTAGAAAATCATATTCTTTGCAGAGTGGTCCCCCAGCCTGGCCCCACACCTATTTATCTTGGTGTTATTGACTATATTCCTTAGGTTGTAATCTATATCTCTGTGGCTATTCTGCAACTACCAATTTGTACTGCTTAATTCCTCAGTTTTAAATCTAGAAAGGACTAGACCTTAACTTTTAGGCAAAGATGACTAAAGCTCACAGAGTAGTGTAGCCTAGAGGGAAACTGTTCTTGCTTAGTGCCAGCATCTGCTAGGATTCAGCTTTCTTCCCTTTGATACTCAGATTCCTTGGTAAGATGTGTGTTGTTATTGTTGTTAGAACCAAGGAAGCTGAACCACAAAGCAGGTTACCTTTTTCAGTCACACAACTAACTCTGGTTAGGATTTACCAACGCCCTTTCATGAGTTGACTGGTATAACACTTCAAAAGCACGGTGGACATTCACTGACCTATTACCCTTTCACAGGAAATCGGTGAAGTGGCCACCCATGGTCACGGAGTGAGTGAAAGGGAGTGAGAGCTACTAGGGCCGAGGTCAGCAAACTGCGGCTCGCAGGCCACATGCGGCTCTTTGGCCCCTTGAGTGTGGCTCTTCCACAAAATACCACGGTCTGGGCGAGTCTATTTTGAAGAAGTGATGTTAGAAGAAGTTTAAGTTTAAAAAACTTGGCTCTCAAAAGAAATTTCAATCGTTGTACTGTTGATATTTGGCTCTGTTGCCTAATGAGTTTGCCGACCACTGTACTAGGGAATAATTAATATATAACCACGGGGCCCTGAGCAGCGCCCTTCTGGGCAGTGCCTGAGGGAACTTCTGTCTTCCTCTGTCCTGGCTGCACACAGTGATATCAGGCATTGAACTCCAACTGTATTCACTCTTTAGCATGATATTTAGGAATAGCTTTACAGGTAGAGTCACGGAAAGAAAGGTAAAAGTAGCCGGTTCTCTATTATTACATAACTACCTAAGGGATAAGACAAGGGAGGAAAGCTGTTCAGTTTTTCTAAGAAGTAATTCCCTTATTTCTTGATACCTTTGGGATTACATAATACTAAATGGTCAGAATACATCCTGGTCAGAATGTCTCAATGCTTTTTTTGCCTTTTGTATCTGTTTCAAGTTCTGGGATAGATAACCTCTCTTTTAGAAAAAAGCAAACCTGGCACAAATGCCATGGCAATCCAGGATATCTGAGGTTCTTAATGTGCTGTAGCTTCGCTTTTTCTAAAGAAGCACTGTCCAGTAGAAATATAATGTGAGCCACGTACCTGATTTTACATGTCTCAGTAGCCATATTAAAAAGTATAAACAGCCCTAGTCAATTTGGCTCAGTGGATAGAACGTCAGCCTGCGGACTGAAGGGTCCCAGGTTCAATTCCAATCAAGGGCACATGCCCAAGTTGCCGGCTCTGTCCCCCCAGGAGGGGATGTGTAGGACGCGGCCAATTAATGATTCATCATTGATGTTTCTTACTAATGTTTCTATCCCTCCCTTCCTCTCTGAAGTCAATAAAAATATCTATTTTTAAAAAGTAAGTGGTTAAGAGCATCGGCCTATGCACAAAAGGGTCATTGGCTCAATTTCCAGGAAAGGGCATGTTCCTCGGTTGCAGGTTTGATCCCAGGTCTGGCTGGGGAGTGTGCAGGAGGCAACTAATCCATGTGTTTCTCCTATATTGGTGTTCCCCCTCCTCCTCCCCTCTCTAAAAATCAATGGAGGATTAACAACAACAAACATTTTTTAAAGTATAAACAGATGAAATTAGTTTTAAATCCATACATCCAAAAGATTTTAATATTTAATCAAAATACAGTTGTTTTATTATATAATCAATATAAATGGAAATATGTAGTTTTACATGTTTTTTTTTTTACAACTCCAGTGCATGTTTTTCACTTACAGCCTGTCGCAGTGTAGACCGGCCACATTTCAGTGCTCAGTAACCACATGTAGTCAGAGTACTATTGTATTGGACAGCCCAGTCTTAAATCAAGTGAATTATTAGTTAGGGTGGCTCCATAGTCTGTGGGACTTCTCAGAATATGTTAAAGTGCTAATTTTCATTGGGACTCTAGTTGGAGAATAGTGCTTTTTGTACTGTTTTGGTGGCCAAGTCTTTTAGCACTGGCACAATGCCCTACCCAATTCTCATCTCCCCCTCCTCCTACCCAGGAGTATTCAAGGGACCCTTTCTAGGGTTTGAAAGTGTTAATCAAGGAACCTCCATCCCTGCTCCTCCTTTCCCTCCCCTAGTGTGAACTAAAACCTGGAGGTGTTCCCCCCTCTCTTGGCCAGGGCTACCTTTAGAAGTTGCTTTAGGACAGCACATCCTTGGGGTAATCTTTCTATGTGATGGGTAGGCATTAAGTTATCCTCAGGGCCTGTAAGGCGGTCTTGATTTCTTGACTTGCTAGCTCACTGCCCAGTCATCAGAAATCATTTCAGCCAGTCTGACTGGTGAACCCAGCAGGGGAAGCTTCTGTCTGGGGGAGAAACCTAGTGCTGTTGGTGGGAGGTAGTGTAAACCAGTTTGCAGACCAGCTTATTGATTTTCACTAGCCACCAAGTAAGTGATTCATCCTTTAAGAAGGTGGCGGCAGTTCTTATCCCTGTATTCCTACTTGGATGTGATATGAGAAGAGTGAGTTACTTTGGAGGAAGGCACATCACTGGACTCAGGTAACACTGGAGGGGAACCTCTGAGTAAGGGGCAAGGAATTG